GTGATGTCCTTGTCCTTCCAGCCAGGAGAAGACTGAGAAGAAGCAAATTACTTTGGAATATTTTAGTCAAACTATAAAGGAATCAGCTGGGTGCCCCTTGCCACACTGAAGCACACGGGAGCTTCTGGTCACAGGCTCAGCCTCACACAGATGATAAGCATCTGCCATCTCCTTACCTGCCCGGAAGGAAACCCCCAGGGCCAAAGCTCTGAAAAGCAGAGAAGTTCCACCATGAGCCGGGCTGACAGATGCTGCCAGAGCCCTGGCCACTGCCACAGCAGGTCACAGTGCATACCCTTAGGATTGTGGAGCAAAGGTCTGCCTTCCTCAGTGGATAGGTTTTCTTCTCTTGGGAGACAGTTTTGGGTGTGCTAGGCCTTGACAGACCCTGCACACTTGGCTACAGAACAAAACCCACTGTGAGTCAAGCCTCTCATCACAGACGGAACTCACCTGACCCTTGGGCTGCAAACCGTACATGTGCACAGCATGCTACTACCAAACTGAAATGGGGTGGTGACCCTGGGCAGCTCCGAGGGGCCCTGAAGGCATAAGTCTCACATGTCATGACCTGTGTGCAGCCAACGGAGGAAAACTTAGGCCTGCTTTACAGCCTGATTTCTCGTGGTTCTGCCCAACATTCGGGCACCTGGTGAAGCCAGTCACCACACGACGGCCCCTTTCTGGGTATGAAAGGGTAACCGTGAAAGAAAGCCAGCAGGGAGTGGGTAGGAGGACTGCAAGCAATGCATCTGGGTTGTTAATTATACCTGGAAGGAGAAAGGGTCAGGGGTGTCTTGTCTAAGATTCCTAGCTGGAACGTAGCAGCACCTCAGCAAGATGCCTGGATACTCTGGGTGGCCATAGGCAAAGAGAGAGTCAGGGGCTGGGAAGACCAATCCTGATTCCCAAGGGAAACTCATCTGCGCTCACACAGTGGAGAGGATTAGTCGTCCTCTTTCAGGGAAGCACTGCTGTGTTTGGCTGTCTGTAGGAAAGCTAGATTGTGTGCAAATATGTACTTTGTTACTGTTTTCACTAGGAGGTTCAGTATGGCTAAGGAGATAAGAGTTTGATACCAGTCATATGATATTTTATAAGCCCAGTGGTGCATCACTATGGTTAAGGGCTAAATGGGTCGAGCATCTTTTTTGTTGCTTACTGGCCATTTTTACATTTTATGAAGCGTTTACTAAAACCTTTGGCCGGGGGCTGGGGATTTAGCTCAGCGGCACCGCACCTGCCAGGCAAGCGTGAGGTCGTGAGTTCGATTCCCAATACCGGAAAAAACAAACAAACAAAAAACCAAAAATACCAAAAACTAAAACCCTTGGCCTATTGTTTTATTGGTCTTATTCAGTTATGAGCTCTTTAAGGGCTGGGAGCAAAGCTCCATGGCAGAGCTGGTATCTTAACATATATGAGGCCTTGGGTTTGACTCCCAGCTGTTCTTTATATATTCTAGACAAATTTTTAAAAATTTTAAATTTATTTATTTACTTACTTTTTTGTCTTTTTGAGACAGGGTCTCACTATGCAGTTCAGGCTGGCCTTGAGCACACTTTGTAGCCCAGGCTGGTCTCTAACTTGCAACAATCCTCCTGCCTCAGCCTCCCAAGTGTTGGGATTACAGGCGTGCACCACCATGCCTGGCTAACTTTTTTTTAGACAGAGTCTTGCTATGCAGCCCAAGCTGGCCTCCAACTCATGGCAATCCTACTGCCTTCATGTACTGGGATGACAGGCGGGCACTACCATGCTGACTTCTAGATACTCTCATCAACTGTGATCTATTGCAAATTCTTCTTGCCATCTGCAATTTCCTTTTTCTTTATGGTGTCTTTCAAAGCATAGCAGGTTTTAATTTTGATAAAGCTCAGTTTACGAATAATTTCATTTATGGTTCATGCTTGTTGTGTCCCGAGAGATCTCTGCCCATCCTAAGATCACAAAGGCTTTATCTTCTAAAGGCATTCTTTTCTTTTCTTTTTTGGTCTCTGTGAGACAGGGTCTCACTATGCAGTTCAGGCTGGTCTTGAACTCGCTTTGTAGCACAGGCTGGCCTCAAACTTGCAACGATCCTCCTGCCTCAGCCTCCTGAGTGCTGGGATTACAGGTGTGCCCCGCTAGTTGTTATTGTTTTATCTTTTACATTTAGGTTTATCATTCACAGTGAGTCCCTTTACTCTGGAGTCTCCGATTCTTCTGAATCTATAAATGCACCTCCAACCTGAGCCAGCCCTGCCACCCGGTCCTTCTCTAGACCCACCCACCGACCCACCAAGCCGGGCCGTTCATGCCCTACCTCCATCCTCCTACCTCGGCTTAGTCACCCAGCCAGGACCTGCCTCAACAGTGAGACCCTGTCCCTCTTCATACTGCTGAGTAATTTGTAACCTCGCCGAAGACCCTCCGAGGCTTCGGGAAACCCTTACTTCACCGCTTCGGGCTTCCCGCGCCAGAGACCTCACACTTGCCTTAAGGATCTCCTCCTGACTCAGCCTTTGGAATGGTAACTGCTCCACCCAATTCTCCGACAAAGCTTTCCTGGCACCAGGCGGCCCCCAGAGGAGCGATCAGAAATTACAAATTTAACTCGGTCTCATTCCGCTTGGGCCGCTCTCTTCTCCCCTACCTTTCAAACCTCAGGAGGCCGAGGGCTCTACTACCCCCCAGTGCCCCCTAGAACGAAGGCACGGGCTCAGGAGGCGGGACCAGGGGTCACGGGCTGGCATCTCCTCGCCCACGACGGGCGCACAGGAACAGCCTCGGCCGCGATGTCCTCCAGCGCACGGCTCGCAGCGTTGATGCCCCGGTTGCAGGTACGGGTCTCCCGGTCCTCCCGCTCCCGGCTCAGCGCTTGCGCGGGTAGGCGGGACCATGCGGCTGTGGCCTATCCCCGCCCCCGGTGGCGTGCGCACGCTCCGACGCACCGCCTCGCGCATGCGCCCTCTGCGGGGGCGGAGGCTGTGGGCGGCGGGGGCGCGCGC